GGGGGGGGGGGGGATAATGAAACATCTGCAAGCAAACAACCAAGCTCAGAGAGCACCAAGGACTCCACCTGATTTAATTATGTTTGAAGAAAGATTGAGAAAATCAGTGAAGGGTACAGGATGACCAGTGATTCTGAATTAAGAGACATACCATTTTCTGAAAGTGCCAAGACAGCCTGAAGAAAATATGGATATGGAAGGAAAGGAAAGAAGTAAAAGAAACTACAGTAGAAGTAGAATGGCTGTAAGAGAAAATAAAAGTCTCTGTCTACTAGAAGACAATCTTTCAAGAGAATGAAAGGAAAGCAATTATAAGGATGTGGAAACTGTTTGGAACAGAGCAAAAAGAATTGTATTAAACAATACCACAGAAATGTATGAATTTATGGAGTATGAAAAAGGAGATTTGGTGAATTGATGAAGTGAGAATGGGATGAGGAAAAAGTGTATGTAAGAAAATGGATGCTGCAAAAAAATCCTGAAGCTTAAAGAAAGATATATATACTATGGAAAAGAGTTGAAGAGAATGTAGTCGAGGAGAACAAAGAAAGGTTAAGATTAAAAGCAGCAAAGAAAATGCAGATTGATTTTGATGGAAATTAACACACACACACACATATATATCTGTGTGTGTATGTATGTGTGTGTATGTACAGTGGGGCAAAAAAGTATTTAGTCAGCCACCAATTGTGCAAGTTCTCCCACTTAAAAAGATGAGAGAGGCCTGTAATTTTCATCATAGGTATACCTCAACTATGAGAGACAAAATGGGGGGGAAAATCCAGAAAATCACATTGTCTGATTTTTAAAGAATTTATTTGCAAATCATGGTGGAAAATAAGTATTTGGTCAATATCAAAAGTTCATCGCAATACTTTGTTATATAGCCTTTGTTGGCAATGACAGAGGTCAAACGTTTTCTGTAAGTCTTCACAAGGTTTTCACACACTGTTGCTGGTATTTTGGCCCATTCTTTGTTGGCAATGACAGAGGTCAAACGTTTTCTGTAAGTCTTCACAAGGTTTTCACACACTGTTGCTGGTATTTTGGCCCATTCTTTGTTGGCAATGACAGAGGTCAAACGTTTTCTGTAAGTCTTCACAAGGTTTTCACACACTGTTGCTGGTATTTTGGCCCATTCTTTGTTGGCAATGACAGAGGTCAAACGTTTTCTGTAAGTCTTCACAAGGTTTTCACACACTGTTGCTGGTATTTTGGCCCATTCTTTGTTGGCAATGACAGAGGTCAAACGTTTTCTGTAAGTCTTCACAAGGTTTTCACACACTGTTGCTGGTATTTTGGCCCATTCTTTGTTGGCAATGACAGAGGTCAAACGTTTTCTGTAAGTCTTCACAAGGTTTTCACACACTGTTGCTGGTATTTTGGCCCATTCTTTGTTGGCAATGACAGAGGTCAAACGTTTTCTGTAAGTCTTCACAAGGTTTTCACACACTGTTGCTGGTATTTTGGCCCATTATGATTTGCAAATAAATTCTTTAAAAATCAGACAATGTGATTTTCTGGATTTTCCCCCCCATTTTGTCTCTCATAGTTGAGGTATACCTATGATGAAAATTACAGGCCTCTCTCATCTTTTTAAGTGGGAGAACTTGCACAATTGGTGGCTGACTAAATACTTTTTTGCCCCACTGTATGTATATATGTATGTGTGTATGTGTGTGTGTGTGTGTATGTGTGTGTGTGTGTATATATATGGAAGGCTAAACAAGGAGCTTCCAGCAGAATGAATAGAATGAAAAATAAAAGTGATGAAATGATTTTCAGGTTATGTAACGTTAAGTTGAATGCAATGAGAATAGGGTACTTAAAAATGTTGTGGAGTAAAATAAGATCAGATCAAGAATGAATGGACAATGACTAAATATGGATTAAATACAAAAGCAGTAAGTACAAAAAGGAGTATATTCAAGGCTTCTGTTGAGGTTCCCTGGTGTACTTGACAAGTAGTGGAGACAGTGCAGTGAAGTGAACACCGGCCAATGGTGACTTCTGCCTGGCAAGTCTTTCCGGATAAAGGAGAGAACAAGAGATTGCCCACCTGCACCCCGAACAACTGCTCTTCAGGAGGAGACTGCGCGATTGAAGTCTTGCAGTCTTCTCATGAGTAGAGCGCCTGGGGGTCACAGGAGAAACAGCTCACTCACACTAGCCATGTAGCCTTTTCAAGGACACTAAGTATGACCAATCCTCACTTTCTTGATCACTTTGGGATATAATCAATTTACAGTTGAAAAGAGGTCTTTGAAAACAGCAGGACAAAGAAAACTCAGTGAGTTAGCATTCCTTCCTAATTACAGAAAGTAAAATAAAGAGGAAAATAATTCTTTTAAAACACTTTAAAACAACAACAAAGAGCTTAATCAAGATTTTGACTAAGAAGATTATAAGTGGATAAAGGGGACAGTATTAATCTGAAGATCAAGATTTTGGTGAAAGGGTTTTCAGTATTATGTGGAATTAAACAGACCAGATTCCTGGGAATGTTAGTTGTCTGACATCAAAGGGAAAAGATAATTGGTGGAATTTACCAAACAAGGAGATAAGTGTAACAGGAAGATGGGCTGTGTCATTAAAACTATGGAAAGATAAGCTGGACTAAAGTCTTAAGTGTATAAAGAAAGTGAATGAGGGAAAAATAGAGAAATCTGCTTTTTATCTTGAGCTTTACTTTTACTTTTATCTTGCGATTTACTTTTACTTTTGGATTAAAAATAAATAAAATGACTTTTTTGAAATGAATTATGCAAAATAAAAACATTTTGAATTTGCAAATAAACCAGGGAAATGGTTGGCATATAAATTGAGGAAAGAAAAAGAGAAAAAATATTAAAACTACTAGATGGAAATACTATAAGAACTGATAATTTAATGATGCAAAAAATATTTCATTGATATTACTCTAAATTATGTAAAGGAGAAGAAATTTCACTGACAAAGGTTGATGCCTATTTAAAGAAACAACATTTATCGAAGATTAAAGAAAAACAATTATTGAATGGGCCTATAACAATAAGGGAAGTTTGTGAAGCTATAAACAAGGTTAAAATAGGGAAAGTGTCTGGACAAGATAATTTACCAGCCTCTTATTATAAATA